TCGTTCTCGTTACTGTTATCGTTGTAGTTACCATTATCATTACCGTTATTGTTTTCTCTAAATTTCTTCATTAATTTTGCTTGTGGAAGTATTCATCGAGGTCTCGATCCGCAGAGCGTTTTAGTGACAAATCTTGAAGAAGACGAGAGTCTTATATGTGTTTGGCTGCTGCCAATTTGCGAATAAATTAAGTTGCGAAGATTTCAATCAAATCCTCCTTCTCTGTGCATTCAGCAGTAGTGAATGGAGTACCAGGCAAAAATACTCGTATTCTGAGTTAACTACCGACTCTAGCTTGCTCGTCTCGGGAGAAAAACGAGGAAGTTGGGAAGCAAACCAGCTTTGCGTCTAAAGCGGCTTCCGTACCATATGCAAGGGCCTCCTTTCCCCAGGGACAAAGCGAACACAGTCCTTAATAATGAGGGCAGGTTTCCGTAAAGCGGTGTTTGATTGTATTCTTCGTCCGTTGTTTCATTTTAGTTTATCGTTGTGTCAAAATCTCTGCACGTTGATGTAATTTGACCATAGAGTCATATGTGCCTTTTCAGACGAAAGAAAAGCTTGCAACCATGGATTTAAAATGTGTATCGCTCCAATACGCTAACCCCTGGCTAACCACTCATCTCTAAAACTATCTGACTGTCTCGTTGGCAAGCGCCTCCTACGCAGGCTACCATCAGGTCCAATTTTATTATTATTGTTATTACTATTATTGTTGTTAATTGTTTTTTATTTATCCTCTCCAACACCAAATGCCTTGAATATTCATGAGAATGCATTAGTATTACCGAAACACAAATTTGGCACGTTTTGACGAACAAATGTTTGATTGTGACATTTAAATACAGCATAGAGCCAACAAGGTCTCATCAAAGCGAATTATACCTGTTAACCATGCGTCTTCATCTTCGCACCTCCGTTCGCGAATCAGCAAAAATGGCACATTAGAGCAGCCAAAAAATAATAATAACAACAAATCTGTTGTCTTCCTCGGGATTCATCACTGAACCGGTCGTAACCTTGATGAATACTTGCACAGGCAAATAAAGCAGTCTGGAAAATACCAAAAAAAAAACGTTACTAAAAAAGCAGGCCTTGTTTATCATTTGCTTACACTCTGGAAATTTACTCAAAGGGCTTTCCCCTTTTATACATCACGAATACAAAAAAATACCATACTTTCTTTTAAAAAGGCTTACCCACGCTTTTCTTTTTTAAAGGAGTCTTGTCCTACCAGAAGCCCATAACCCGGACCGGAGCGAGCAACTCTTATGCTAGGCCTATGTCACGGCGTTTTTACGGATTAATTTATTTTTAGACACATTTTAGGGCATTTTTCCAGCGAAAATAGAATCTCCATCATGTCTATGAGAGCATTCGAGGTATCACATATCAAAAGGGAAACCTAAACGTTATTAAATGCAAAAAATATCATTATAGGTCTGCAGGTTGTGCTGACTGGTTTATGGAATTTAAAAGACATTCAAAATTCGCGCCAAAACCGTTCTAAAAATAAACTGGTCCATGAAAACGCTGTGACACGAGCACATGGAAGTTGGTCGCCTCGGGTTATGGGCTCCTGTCCAAGCTAATTCCCAGGAATAACTCAGTTTCATTTTCTTCACTTTATTTATTTCCAAACTGTATTCACGGTATTTTCTTCCAGCTCTGACGGTAGCACCTGCTTTCAAATTGAAACTACTAGTCTAGAAACTTAACTAAGTTTTCGCGCCCGAATGATTTAACTCTAGCCTTACGAACCTCGCAGACAAGAGTTCGTACCCAGTTGAAAGATTTTTTTTCTCTTTTGAGGCTTCTTGGTCAAGTAGAGATTCCTCTTTTTGAGGCACGCAGAAGAGGAGGGATAGCTGTGAAAAAGTGTTATAATTTGCAGGATGATAAACATCATCCAATTATTGTAAGTATCGTTAAATCCTTGTTTTAAGGTAGCTCGAAGGGGTTTTTAAGGGTCAATGCCTCCCAAGTTTGAGAACAAACTACGTTGCCATTAACAAAGATTTCGAAAAAATTACCACCACCGCTGTATTAGATGAAGATGAAAATTTGTTTTGATCAGGGTGACAATGACATCTGAGTTTTCGCAGTAACGAAATGAGGCCATTACCTATGTTTTAGTTGCAGCTTTACTTGTTAGCACTGGAAACTTCTTTTCCAAAATCGTTCAGGGGAGATCTATCCTCTAATAGCCCCTTCAATGTCCGTGGAGTTTAAGAGAAATCTATAAGAGCGTACGTTATCAAGATATTTTGGGATGACAATTAAATGCACCGTGCTCTCCTTCGCGCGAGATAGTCTCTTTCTTACCTGACTTCAATAAATGACATCGAAGAAGGAAGTTGTAATTCGCGGTTACGTACACGTCTATGTTCATATTTCGTTCTTCACGAGAAGATTTTTGTTTCTTTAAAGGACGCTACAGTCACCCTGGAAGTAAAATATACTCCACCAAGAGGCAAGGATAAAATACACATTCACAAAGCCATTGAAGAGGTAAGTGACGCAGATAGCGACGTTGACAAAGACGAACAAGACTACGATGAAGTTGATGCTGCAGAAGAAATAGGCCCAAGAAAAAGCAGACGATGGCATTATCCAAAATCAAAAAGGAGAAGGGTGTCGAGAAAATGGTCAACCAAAACAAAGGACTTCCAGGTGATTGCAAAAACATGGTAATTCGCCACTTTAGAAAATATAATAATTATCTTTTTGTCCTCCCAGGCGCGGTAAATTCTCGCGTGTTGCATGGGAATTTGATTTTGTGCTAAACTCGAGACAATAGGAAATCACAGAGCAAAAACTTAGCTTGACGTATGACAACGTTAGACAACTTTAAAAGTTTTCAACGGAACGACATTTTAGACATTATAGAACACTGATCAATTGTGGCACTGAAATTTTTTTAAAGAAAATCTATCGACGAATTTTGGTTCAATCGCTGCTTTCGTGAAATGAGTCTTAAAATTTACGAAAAGAGGTCAGCATTGATCTTTTGACTGATTCACATGTCAGTCATGTTTTTTTTTCGTAATCGCGCAAGTCTACTTGTGTTCAGCCGGTTGTTGAGTGTATAAAGGTCATTAGCAAAACGAATTAATGAGTGATAAAAACTTTTCGGAAACCTTCAAATGGTAGCAAATTTGTATGCATTAAGTCCAGCGTTCAGTTCAAGCATAATTGATACCCTTTTTGTAGAAATTCAAAGATATCTCGAAATTCCTCTTTGATTTTTGTGATACTTCGCACAACAGGAGACAAACACCCAAAGTATATGTAGAGTAAAGCACTTCCAAAGAAAATGCCAATAAGGGCAGAAATTCGATTTAGAGCCAAAACTATTGTGACATCATTGTTATCAATAAAACATGTATTATAATGATTTTATAGTAAAGATCAAATTGTTTAGGTATAAGAGATTCAAAGATGGAAGGTGTATCTACAAAATTACTAAGTTCAGCCATCTTAACAAATAGCCATTATCCATACACCTCTCCACACCCTACTGCTGGTAGGGACGGGCAGACTTTTTTTCAAAAAAGGCATAAGAGCATATGAATCACTTGGGTACAACACAATACAGATCAGTTTATGCAACTTGTAAGGCTGCCTTCATAAAAATTGCAATATAATCGAAATAGGCTTTTTTAGGCTTTTTTTGTCCCTCTAAAATTTTGGGATCAATTTAGGTTTCTGGGAAACTGCCCACCTACCCCTCCCCTAACCCAACATGCCATGAGTGAGAAGCAAGTGTTAATGTCGCCTTAGGGGAGGGGTAGGTGGGCAGTTTCCCAGAAACCTAAATTGATCCAAATTTTGCATAAGCATTGTTTTCAATTTCTTTTGGGACTAACGGTCCCCCCAATATTTTGCAAAATTTTAGAGGGATAACAAAGTAAATTATGGTATTTTGAAAAAAGGCCTATTTATTGCTAGATTTCCTTTCTGGCTGAAATTTTCGAAAAGGTATTACTAAGTTTTGATCCCAATAATTTTCGGATCACTAGACTTTCAGCTAGAAAATCCTAACAGGTGAAAAATTTTAAAAAATATGCCTATATCTACCGTTTAAATATGAAAATACGTACAACAATGCTATGTTAAAGTGGTTTTGAACTATATTCACGTTGGGTGCCCCTTAAGTGTGATAAAACAGACAAAATGTTGGCCGGAACATGGAGCTTCAACATAGCGCGTGGAAATCTCCCCTTCAGTTAAAATAATGGTTTTGCACAGTGGATCTAAACTTAAAAAAATGAGGCTAATGATGCAGATACATTTATAATTCATGATACTGCAGTGTACTTACATTTGCGTCTCGACCGCCTTTTATAATACGGTTGAATATAAGTAAGCTTATGCTCATCTTGGCTGAAGTATTATTGGTACACTGCCTCCTTTTGTCTCTACACGATTTTAATTTTGTGAACATGTTCTGGGTTTGTATTTAAAAATACAAGCCCAGTACATGTCCACAAAAGCCAGCACTTTTTTTTGCTACAGATATGTGATCAGCCTCTTGATTTAACTTCAGTGAGTAAATACCACTAACCCGACCGTCATCAAAAGTGTCGAGTCCCTGTTTGCCGTGATAAACGATTGAAAAGGAAAATGTCACTCAACAAATGGCCAAACGGTCTTTGTAGCAAAAATGGATTGGAAATTAATAGCCTGTGATCGCGTGTGATCATGAATTTTGAAATGTGAATTATGTATGTATCATGAAATTTGCCTACATCACCGGTTTTATCTCTTTCGAGGTTTGGTTCCAAAAGTACCATTTCAACTGCTGAGGCGGGCATTTCCACTACAAGCACTCCTCGTTCTTACAGTTCTGCCACGCTCTTGGCCTTAAAATCGCCCTTATTCTTCTGCTTAGTCATTTTTGAAACTTAAACTTTTCGAGTTTCAAACAGCGAAAGGGAAATAACATTTCTAAATAAACGCGAACTCGTAGTTCGTATATAGCACTTTGCACTAATGACGTCACTAATTTCTGGTCCCCGCTGTGACTCAGACATTGAACCTGATCCATATCAGGGGCACCCAACGAGGACGTACTTCAAAACCACTTAAACATAGCATTGTTAAACGTATTTTAGTATTTAAACGGTAGATATAGGCATATTTTTATCCCTTAGAAATTTTTCATGTGTTCTGATTTCGTAGCTGAAAGTTTAGTGATCCGAAAATTATAGGGATCAAAACTTACCTTTTCGAAGATTTCAGGTACGAAAACGGCTCCCGAAAATTCTAGGTGACCTTTTAAGGGTAAAAATCCGTTAAAAATGGGCAATTATACCATTATTTTTAGATGGTCGAAAATCCTAGGAGAGGCAGACAAGTAAGAAATTTTACCACAAATGTTCCGAATATTCTAGATCGCAAATCGTCTTCTGAACAGATATTTCCGAAAATTGTCGTTGGGTGCCCCTGCCATATAAGAGTTTTGTATGGGAAAGTCGCGTTCGCCTGCAAATGTACATCGTCTTTGAAGATTTTTAACGTCAAAAGAAACAAAATCCAGCTTGGTGTCGATAAAGTATATCCTGAAAATAATTAACGTTTGCCAAGACAATGTTAAACATCGAAAAAACTGTACAGATGAGTGATTTTATTTCTAGCGCGGTGTCATTAATGTTACGGCATTTCACTAAAAAATGTATGGAGAGCAGGGCGTTATAGCTGTTCATAAAAAGGTGCATGTGGTTAAATTATGAGGCAAAGGGTGCTCAATTTTTTGTCGAGTGCGAAGGCAACTCTTATGACGCTACTAAAGGATATAAAGTAGTGTATGGTACCTACCTGGCCGCACGACAAAACATAACAAACTTAATACAATTTCCGGTGTTTGATAATATTGATGTGCTTTTCAGCTAAGAAATCCTTCCACAGGCTTGCGAGAAGCACATACAAACTCGATTTTCTCTTTAGCAATTTCGGTTTTGGAGTATTACAAAGTGTTTTGTCATGTTTCAGTGCTCGAACTGACTAGGACAGAGTTACCGATACGATGTTAGTAGCGTTCATTGACCAGGTCGCTTTATTTTCCGATTTTAACCGTCTATTTGAGTTACTTGGACCAGGTTTTGCTCCCTATAGCGGTAATGCCTTTTATATATTAGAATAAAGCTCAAAAAACGCATGGTGCCCATACAAAACCTTGAGTAGAATGAAAGTTGAGTCACGCGGGGGGGTCCAAGGTGACAAAACCTATTTTTAGTAAGAGTGCAAAGCGCTTTTGTACGGCATGTGGCAGAGAGTGGATGTCCGAACTTTAGCAATAAAAGGGGGTGGTAGGCCTACACGACTTTTACCTCATGCCAAAATGCTGCTTATTCCAATAAAGTTGTTTTTATCTGCTGGGTAGATTATGCTCTGGAAGGTTCTGCATTTATACCGAGCAAATGTGATTTTAGCCGCATGTTTCACACTGAAGAGGTCATGACATACATATCGGTTGACTGTAGTTATTGTTTTCTGGTCGGCAGGATTTGCCCTCTGATGCAAGCGCATTTTCTTTGACCTCTTTTGAAGCGTAAAGCTTTTTTATTACGGCTGAAGAAGGGTTCCAATTTTCTCCAAATTGCCTTCTGGATCTGAATAACTAAGCGATTTTCTTTAGTCCGTGAGTGTAATGTTTTTCTGCAATGCTGTATCACGCTGGGCCCTGAGCTCGTCAGTTTTCTTTGCAGAATGTTAAATTATCACAGATAGTGACTTACAGATCCAATATTATAAGAGTGAACTGCAGCTTAAACTGAAGCTACATAAACTTAATATGGAGAATTGAATTGTGACTCAGTAAACTCCAGCTTTAAGTGTTTTTCTAAAGATAGTGTGAGTCTTTTGACTGGAGCGCGTAGTTCCTCCCTTAGTAGTAGCTTTGAATAAGCTTAACAGTCTTTAAACTGTTTTGTTATTGCCACAGTTTGTGATCAGGCAAGACCTTGGTTTCGGTTCTCCACAGAAAACAATAACTACAGTCAACCGATATGTATGTCATGACCTCTCAGTGTGAAACATGCGGCTAAAATCACATTTGCTCAGTATAAATGCAGAACCTTCCAGAGCATAATCTACCCAGCAGATAAAAACAACTTTATTGGAATAAGCAGCATTTTGGCATGAGGTAAAAGTCGTGTAGGCCTTCCAACCCCCTTTTATTGCTATGATTTGTTTACGGGTAGGCCCCGTTTTACTTTATGAAAATCAACACAGGCACTAATAAGAACCAAGCACAGAGTAGAAAGTTCAACATTGCACACCTAACAAGGAACGTATCCACTCCAGTTTTTAGAGGGAGTGTACGGAAACTCTGTGTGCACTTATTTACAAGAGTCCTCGAACTCTTCCATAAAACAAAATGCTTAAATTTTCACGAAATGCTATCCAAGAAAACACACCACTAGCTGGAAGCAGAAGAGGATCGAAATACACACTCTGTAATTGGTTACGTTCAGAAACCAATAGGAAAACAAGAATTTCGATCCGCCACGTGGGTATTTATGTTCCAGTTCAAAGCTCAATAGACAGAACGGCTGTACCGTTCTCGCCACAAGAAAGTACAACTAAAGTTGCTCTTGCAAAAGCAACTAAGCACAAAGCCAACCCGGCAACTGATGAGGTTCGTGTGGAGAACCGAAACCATGGTCTTGCCTGATCACAAACTGTGGCAATAACAAAACAGCTCAAAGACTGTTAAGCTTATTTAAAGCTATTACCAAGGGAGGAACTACGCGCTCCAGTCAAAAGACTCACACTATCTTTAGAAAAACACTGAGCTGGAGTTTACTGAGTCACAATTCAATTCTCCATAGTAAGTTTATGTGGCTTCAGTTTAAGCTGCCGTTCACTATTATAATATTGGATCTGTAAGTCACTATCCGTGATAATTTAACATTCTCCAAAGAAAACTGACGAACTGGGCCCAGCATGATACAGTATTGCAGAAAAACATTACACTCACGGACTAAAGAAAATCGCTTAGTTATTGAGATCCAGAAGGCACTTTGGAGAAAATTGGAACCCTTATTCCTGTTATTCAGGCGTAATAAAAAAGCTTTACGCTTCAAAAGAGGTCAAAGAAAATGCGCTTGCATCAGAGGGCAAATCCTGCCGACCAGAAAACAATAACTACAGTAATGACCTCTCAGTGTGAAACATGCGGCTAAAATCACATTTGCTCAGTATAAATGCAGAACCTTCCAGAGCATAATCTACCCAGCAGATAAAAACAACTTTATTGGAATAAGCAGCATTTTGACATGAGGTAAAAGTCGTGTAGGCCTACCACCCCCTTTTATTGCTTTAATTGTTTACAACAAAGGTCATCAAAAGTCAGGTGAAACTACCCGTGAAATCTGACGCTCAGAAGATGAATTTTGTGCTCTGAGATTTCCTATTAGACAGTGCTCGTATTTCTCTCATGTTGTTTATTGCCAAATGTGTTTACTAGAGCCCTAAAATCTACAGTGTAACTCTCATTGTTCCCATTTTACCTGGAAGGTTCTAATTCGGATCATAGAAGGTCGCTGTTTACCTGGAAAGGACATTCACCCCCTTGTGCGAGTCACAGTGGCAGGTCAGCGGCGAGAAACAAGCGTCCAACCTTCTACTAACAGCCCATCCTATAACGAGGTGCAGTGATCCAAAAAAGAAACATATGTATACATATATATATCTGTTCAGTGTTCGCTCATTTCAGTCACGATAAGCACCTCTTTGATAATGCAGGATAATTATTATGTTAATCATTCATTCAAAATACTTCACCACCGTTTCTGATTGGCTCAAAGCTCCGGCTAATTCTTCATAACCAACCGGCGTTGACCAAATTTGGACGATGCAAGTAATATACCATCAATTCGATGGTATATTGACTTAGAAAAGAAGCTGACCTATGGTATATTGATTTGGAAACAGGGTTGCATATGAGCGATAGACCATCGATCAACCTCGTTTCCAGGCGCGGCGGCCCAGTTGTTTATACACCAATGAACTATAAAGAAAATGGCGTTCAAACGGCTATCCGAAGACGAAATTGCTTAATTTCTCAGTAAAACTGATTGGAAAGAAACTAAGGATACGCAAAACATATTGCTTGATGGATGTTATCACGTTTTTGAGGAGTATCAGCAAGAACACCAACAACACAAAAAGCCTGTGTTTGTAACCTGACACTGTGCAAAAAAAAAAGGAGGCCAAAGATTAGAAGAAAGTCTAGAAAGACTACGAGGTAAGCTTGTCAAAAACGTAAAAATATTTTGAATAAATAATTAACAATTATTGAATGAGGCTGAGTATCATATGAAGAATTAGGGAGATCAAGGGGGGTGCTCGGAGATCTCCAAAATTCTTCAGATGATGCGAAAGCCGAATTAAATTGTTCTATTACTCATTCAAAATAATTCCTAGTTTAAAAACAAGCTAAAGCATGCTTACTTCCAACGGTGTTAAATTCATCTTCGATAGTGCATATTAGAGCAAGGTGCCCAAAAATGTGTGACCGCCGTTAATTTATCACATTCTTTCGTGTAGATTTAATCCAATCAGTAGCCAGCTGGAAACTATCCTCGACTTCTGATTGGTTAATGCCTGCATGAAAGAAGGAGTGAATTAATTCAAGGGGGTCGCTCCTTCCTGTAATCGGCAAGTTTAGATGAGATAATAAAAGGGTTATACAGCTCCGCAAATATTTTCCAAACAGCAGATGTTGTCCGTCGAGTAGTCTTCTCGCTGTTCTTGTTATGTTTTTAGCCAATAGTTCTTTCTCGTGAAACGAGTAAAATATTCCGCCATTTGTGTACTCACTATGCCAAATTAACTCGACCTCGTCCCCGGGTCTTCTGGGTTAACGGTACAATTATCTGGCAATCTTGCTGCACTATTGACGTCATCAGTTCACATATCGCAAAATTCTTCCAAATTTGGTCGACAATAGCTGGTTATGATGAATTATGTGTGGGATTTTAGCCAATCAGAAACGGAGAAATATTTCGACTTCGTCCCTCCACATTTTATCCTGTATTTGTGAACGAATTTGATAAAGAAACGAAGTCTTTATCTTATTAAAGACTAGGATTTCAGTCAGTTTAGTGAAAATTTCAGCGCAAATCATAGTTTAAAAGACACAAATCGATCAGCAGGGAGTTGAGAAAATAGTAATAACAAACATAGCGTCACACTGGCGAGCGAAAACTTACAGCGCTCTTAGTTTTGGTGGAATAAACCTTTTAAACTTACATGGTACATTTGCAGTTTTATTTCCACTTTCAACACTTTTGTCAAGTGCTATTGTTTAAGTGGGTCAGTTACACCGAAAAAAAGTGGCTGTAATAACGAGGTGACTGCAGTATCACCAAGGTGGCCGTAAGGCGGGATTTCACTGTGTAACATTCAGATTCTCTATCTACCATTAGCTGAAATAGTTATTTTTGATACAACAGGACTTGCAGTTTTACTTCCGTGAAACTTCCGAAACAGAGTTATTTGACAAAACCATTCTCCTCGAGGTAAGGAAACATTTTATCGACGGATATTTATAATTGTTTGATTCTGATCGTTAAAACTTTTCTTTCCTCGACCACAGGTTTTCAATGCCCGGGGGCTTTTTCGATTCAACGCTCTATTGGCGGAATTCAAGGTAAGAGCATATTAGTTTTTTTTTATTATTATTATTTCATCATTATAGTTATTGTTATTATTATTATTATTATTATTATTATACTACATGAGAAATTTCTGCAATTTGATTGGCTTAGAGCAGTGGTATTTCAGCTTAATTTGAAATACCTACATGTGAAAGTTGGGGGAAGTAGTATAAACAAATGGTAGCATGATTTGTATGTGATATTTGGCATAAAATACCACTCGTGATATTTCAAAATTGTCTCAAATACGTATAACAATTTCGAAATATCACTCGTGCCATTTACGCCAAATATCACTACGAATCATGCTATTACCTATACTTATTAATTTTTTTTTAGTCTAATTTTAGGAGTGAATAACTACATGGTTTCACATGCCGGTCATTTTGATGCCCCACGTTTCCGGAACTAATATAACGATTTAGCCAATGTCAAAAGCTAAGTTCCAGAGGGTTTTTTTTTTTTAAGAAATTCATTTCTGAAGTAAGAAATCCATCTTTCACTATAAACAAGAAACACAGCACTTCCTCCCGAAAAAATAGACGTAAGCTGATAAATTGAAGTGGTCCAGGGAAAACAGTACGTCACCTCGATTAGTTATACACCTTAGCTCACGATACTGTCATGTGATACAACCAAGCGGATACCCTGTCTGACAGCAGTCAATTGATCATAACCTGGATGTCCAATATCAAGACAAACACAGATTGTCTGCCTTGGACTCAACGCTTTTAAGTGTGATAGTTCACTGCGATTAAAAGAACAGGGCCTACGTAAATTTTTGTCACAACGAAAGTTTATTGGATGCATACTAGCCAAATTTTATTACCCATAGTGCTCTGCTCTGCGCGTTACGAGCATGGGATCTCCGCGTTTAGATAATGTATATTTTGGAGTCAGTCTATTAATCCTTTAAGACTAAGTTTTCCTTTTCGTTCGAAATCATAACAGGGAGCTTTGGTCTCGACTCAAGGACCAAGCGACAAGTACATACGTTAACTTACTAGTTTATATCTTTTGCTGTCCAACTTAACTGTCAAGTTGAGGCCGGCCGTCATTTAGACCTCAAAAACTCATGCAAAAACTTCCTTCTTTTCCTTTCATTTCAGCTTGACGTTGGTTTTGTATACGAAAGAAAAGGTGAGGTTGCATTTTTTTTTTTGATTTATGATATTTCAATTTATGGTCTCAGTTTTTGGGTCAACGAAACAAAGGCCCCAAGACCGAGTCCATAAGCTCTACCTCCATCTAGAGCTTCTTAATGACCCTATTTTTCTCAATACTATTTTTTTTGTTTGCTTGTTTCTTTTCGGGAAACGAAAAATAAAGCGAACTTGAAAAAGTAACAGACAACATTAAGCATACAAAATCTGACAAAAAGACACTTTATCTGAATAGCCCATTTTACAGTTACAAGTAAAACGAGGCTGGAGTTGACCTTCTTTTGATACAACCTCTCCTGCTTTATTGTGTGAATCATGTTATCCTTGTGCTAACTAGTATTCTTTTAAAGCATAATTAAAAGCATAAAGCATAAAGAGGTTTGTCTCAAAACTGACAAGGTCAACCTTATCCTTACGTCCAGTCAAAGGCTGAGGAAACCAAGTCCACAATTGCCAAATGGTCTATTGTTCAGGCTCTAAAAGGTTCTCAAATAATATATCAATTTATCGCAGATCATTCAATTATACGAAAGTGGATTATGATGTGTAAGCCAGAGGGAAAGGAGGATGTATCGTTGGTAAGTTCGAATGCAATAGAATACTTCATGGAAACTTCGCTCGTACGCGTGTAAACTCATGAGTTATTGACGTATCTAAAATCGGACAAGTGCGTGCAGTGAATGATTGAAGTGCGTAAATACCGTACAAAGCATTCTTCATGGGGTACGGGGTTGATAATTTTCAAACTGAGACATTCATCATTCTGCTCGCTTACAAATCTTTCGAAAGTGCTAAAAATAATGATGAAATCTAACGCTTCACATTTAAGAAATAGAAAACGTTTTCCGTGTTTGCATAGCCTGATAAAAACACGAGAGGAGTTGGGAGAATTCGAGACAGTTATGC